GTCCCTCTGAAACACAACCAACCCCCCCCACGCGCCGCCTCGCCCACGGAAACAACCCCCCCCACGTGCCACTGAAACACACACACACACACACACACCCCCCCAGCGCCACCCGCCCCGCGGAAACAAACCCTCCTTCCCCAGCACCGCCCCACCGAAACAACGGTATTGAACCTTGGTAATATGTTATAGTGGGCCCCTAAGGTAGTATAATTAAGGTAAAAGAAAATTGTCTTTTGCTAGAAGTAGACTAAGATCTTCCCCCCACTTTGTAATCAATTGCCCTGTTGAATGAATGAGGTTTGGGGTTTGTGCCCTGATCCTTGACAGTCTCCCCTGAGGGTGGCACTTACGCTTTTGAGCTACTCTAGACAGCTTGACAACCTCATTATTGCATTAAGCAATGTTTGTAAAAGGAAAAATTGAGCAAAAATATTAAAGGAAGTCTTCATATTATATCAGCCTAATCAGATATCTTACCCTTTCAAAGCCATACTCTTTTCCTTCAAAATGTAGATGTGTGTGAAAACAATTATTCTTAGAATTAATCTTTTAGAAATACAGAATACTATTTACTTTTCCTAAATTTTGCTGCCATCTTGTGGCAATTATTTTTCACTCATTCAAAACTGAGTTAGCAAAAATTTTCTCCTTCAACAATATATCAACCTTGTTCTTAGTTGGATACAAGTCATCATTCTTTAACTGTTCTCTTACCTTTTGTAAAATATAAAAGATCAACAACTGAATATTCTGCAAGAAGTTAATCACATTGTGGACATCCATAAAACAAACAAACAAATACATAAATAAATATACAATATATTAAGGCTGGATTTGTTTTTAAATCTAACAATCCATAGAAAGTAACAAGTACATTTCCATCACAGAACACCAACAACTAAATTACTTCAAAACTCATTTTCTTTTTAAAAATACAGATAAATTTGATGGCCAGTCAAATTATGACTAAAAGCACTGGTTAGAATGTCATAATGCAGGCAGGCCCTGTACCAGTTTCCACACACAATACCCCTGTAAAGCATGTCAGGAATCCTTCATGATGAAAGATTCATAAATATATTAATGCACTGAACCTGCAAACTGCTCCATACAGACAGACCCCTGCACTCATGGAGAGCTCCACTGACACCAATGGGGCTCCACACAGGCACATAGCCCAGCCCAGCCCCCCACCCCAGGTGCAGAGGTCCTCCCACAAAGATCCATTTCCAAAATAAGTCTTAGTATAACCAAGATAACGTCACCCACCAATGAAACTAGTAGCTGTTTAAAAACAATCACCAGCACCTATACAACAGAGTAGGATTGGAAGTAAAGAATTCTGTACTCTTTGAAAACTGCAGGGTAAGTTTACTATGTGTACAGAAGCAATTAACCAAATTGGACTTCCACCAGGATACCTGGGCTAACACCTTAATCAATATTGAAAGATCTTGCAGCACTTATATCCACAAATACTCATGTTATTTTTAAGGCTCAACCCCTCAGTTCTCATAATGATCCCCATAAAATTATGCTATGAATTAAGGTTGTCGTATACTGCATCTTATCTAGCAATACATTCTCCCATTGAACTAATGACCCAGTCAGACCCTGTTTAGCTTGAGATCCAGTAAGATCACAGGATGGAGGTGTTATGCATAGGTTAAATATAGCACACACCAGTGCAAAGATACTTTTAAATAGCCATTAGACCAAACGAATAACTAGGTGGATCTAATCAGCACACACAAGTAGATGCACACATTAAGAGAATAGCCCTTTATGTGCCAAACAAAATTTGATTACTTTAAGTTAGTTTGTGCTCACAACTCCCAGACAATCAAGGAAAACTCATTGATTCACTCACCAACTCTCTCAAAACTTTTTTTTGGGAGGGACGACGGAGGAGAAAGAAGAACTAATCACATTTTTTTAAACAGCTACACTACACTCCCAGTTATCTGAATTCCCTTTATCCGAAAATCTTAGTTATCCGAATCCACATGTGCCCCAGGTATCTATCAATCATAAGCAATACATTCTTAAGGATAGATATACATATCCTTCCGATTATAGAAAACATGATGTGTAATTCATGCTACACCAGTATAACAATGTATCCATTCACAAAGTGGTTCCATGACACAAAATTGTGTCCAGTTCAAAGCACAGCCCCTGTAACCAGCTGTCACTCCCAGCTGTTTACTGCCTCCCAGCCTACAGCTAGAACCCAGCTCAAAATAGTACTTCTATTTATCTGAATGCCCAGTTATCCAAAAGTTTCATATGTTCCCCAGAACATTCAGATAAACTTGATAGTACTATACATATTTACTACACACTTTCTGGATCTTAAAAAAAGTTAGAGGGGTAGCCGTGTTAGTCTGAATCTGTAAAAAGCAACAGAGGGTCCTGTGGCACCTGTAAGACTAACCGAAGTATTGGAGCATAAGCTTTCGTGAGTGAATGCCCACTTCATCAGATGAAGTCTGCGTCTGATGAAGTGGGCATTCACCCACGAAAGCTTATGCTCCAATATTTCTGTTAGTCTTAAAGGTGCCACAGGACCCTCTGTTGCTTTTTTTAAAAAAAGTTCTTCATTTACAGCATTCAGAGTCAGTATGGATCCACTGCTTTCCTGAAATCTCAGATATTTGTTGCAATAGAGCCTTTCCATCTACAGCCAACCAGGAGGCTGCAACCATTCCTCTGATGATTCATCCACATCAGTGACTTTGTAACATTAGACTAGATTACTGCACTGCATCCAGCCAAAGCTTTTGAGAGACCTTTGTAATAACAATGAATGTGTGTGATCATTTTTAATTGATTGCTTGTATTGATATAGAGTGACCAAGATGCATTGGTGAGAAGTGCCAGTGTACATTTCCAAATAAATAAAATATTTGTACTTCACCTATAATACCCTCTAATACACTTTTACATTTGCAGGTGTCTGGAAAATTAAGTTATTTTGTTCTTTATATAGCAACAAATACAGTAGATGGAACAAGAGACTTGGTTGGTGCCAATGTGGCCGGTGCGGAGGAATTGGCTGGTGTCGAAAAGAACGCCAGTGCCAGCGGTTTTGTCAGTGCTGTAGCTTCTGAAGTCGGTCAGAGCTGAGAAACGGCTGAGGACTGTAGGTCTGCCCAGTAATGGTCTTTAGACAATTTCTTCGTATCACTACTAGAGGTACTTGGATAGGCCTTGGAGCTACATCTCCTGTCAGATGATGTTGAGGCAACTGACCTCACAGGGGATTGTGTTCTGATGGGCTGTGCCTCAAAGTTTGAGAAGGGAGACCATTTCTTTTAGTCCTAGCCAGAAAGAGATTACTTTCTCTTCAAGGGATGCGGGGAATTAGGATTGGCAGACAACCTGGCAGAGCGTGAGGGCCTCACAGGAGGAGAGTCTGGGCCCAGGTCCAATACAGTCATAACAATTTCCCGATGAGGAGAAATTTTAACCCAATGTCCTGGTCTTTTCTGGCTCTGGCTGTCAGGCCGTGGCAGTGGGACCAATTTTGTGGGACATGTCCTTCTTCCAGACAGTGACTATTCTGTGAGTAGCACCTCTTAAACCCAGGGGATCCAGGCATAATGGTGAGGGAAAAATAGCTTCTCAGTCTGGAAGGGCACGAAGCGGGGAAAAGAAAAAACTAAGCTATGAAATAATTATAAAGGTAAAGTTAAAAAACAAACAAACAAACATTTTCTTTTTAAGATAGAAGAAAGGAGAACAAAAAGAAAATACTAACTACACTATAACAGATAAGGCATTATCTATTGAGGGAACAGGAAGTGGGCTCGGCTGCAGATTCCATCCCAGACCAAAGGCGGTAGAGAAGAAACTGGGGGCAGCTGGACCGCACAGCTCTCTCTATATGTCCCGCTCACAGTGTGAGAGCAGGGAGATATGCATGTGTAGTTTGACAGGCACTGCTGATGAAGATCGTTGATCCCAGGTGCAGGGGGTGCTGCTGCACCTACAAGTGGAGCACCCATAGGGACATCACTCGAAGAAGTAGTATACATCTATTCTGGGCAGGAAATGCATGTCAAACAAGATTCTCTAAGAAGGTGCTAAAACTGTTTCAAATCTCAGTATATATAACAGGCCACTGGTAATATAAAAGCACGCTAAATGAAGTTTCATAATTATACTAGATCTTCTCTTTTAAAACAAATACTTACTTCAAATTCTTTAATAAAGTAACGTATTTCTCCTTGAATAACTGGCCTGTGATCCAGCAGTCGGGAATGAATTTCTCCAATGTCTAGAAGAGTAATGAAATCCAAAGTTTTAATTTTCTAAAGACACAATCCATACTAGGTAAAAAAACAACACAGTGAAGCATAGAATATTTCAAAAGGAGGAAAAGTAAAAAGACACCATTATCCAAAAGGACAAGCAAGCTAATACAAGATTTCAACTAATGCTATGATAGTATCAGATGGCTTTTCTGGCTAATTCAACAAACCCACCATCTTAAAATAAATGCCACAAAAAAAGAATATTCTGCCATCCCAGACCCTCCTGACTGCTACGAGGGTGCATGAGGGGGTTCCATTCCCCCACCTATCACCCACTATTGGAGGCCTCATGCCCAAAGGACAGCTGCAGTATTTGCCTTTGCTGCTCCATATAACTGACAAGGAGCAGAGTAGAGTGAAACTAACTTGATTCTTGTCAGTTTCCACTCGGCAACAGTTTGGGAAAGCTGTAAGCATCAGTGAAAGCACAGCCACAACTCTAGAAGACAGTACTACATCAGTTTAGAACTAGTCTGGAAAGTTTTCTTCGCAACTATAATGCCTACAAATATATTTTTCTTAAATGAGAGCTTAGATTCAGCAGCTGATGGAACTCACCTACAAAAACTTCCTACCTGACACAGATAAGTAGATCATTTCATGTTTGAGAAAATGGAAAAGATGGACAAAGTTTGCAACAGATACAGAGTGTATGGTAAAATGCTAAATAGTATCATTGAATGACTCATGTAAGTTCAGATATTTTTAAATAGAAATTGAAGCAGGACAAAAATCAGAAAAGAGAGGAAGGCAAAAGAAGTGGCTTCCAAGGAGAAATTGAAAGGAAAGGAGCAAGGATCCCTAAATCAAAATTTTGACGATATGGGAGCTCCCAAGAGTCCCATTGACTTACTCAAAGCAAATGTGAGTGTCCAGCTCCTCTGAAGATCAGAACAACTATTAAGGGGTTTAAAGTTAGACACCTAAATCTGAAAATGTGGGCCTTACTACATAGAAACAGGATGTCATTTCAGGTGGTGAAAGCAATGCAAGAAAAGGCATGAAGGTGAGAGCACCACCATGAAGGCAAGAAGCAGGTCTATGAATTGTTAGCATTTGAGCTGCAGAAGATACAAAGAAAATGAAAAGGCAGCAATGCCAGCCAGTGATTAACAATGCTATCCTTGCTAGGGCAACCTCAGGAATGACATCAGGAGGAAGATATAGAAAACAAGTGTTATATACAAAAAATAATAATAAAAACTGCCGTCCCAGATTACACTGCTGTCAGAGGCAGGCTACATGACTAGATGGTCACCAATCAAGTATGAGCTAATTCAGAGGAAGGTACAAGAAAGGCTGTACTGAAAAGTTTGGCAATGACTTGTCCACAAGGGAAGTTTCTGCCTAACACCAGGCGATTAGCACTGGCTTTCTGGCTTGAAACTCGAGTATATATATCGCTGTTAAATACGTGCACCGGCACCCCGTCCTCTCTGTAATGCCATCCCGGGGGCGCTTTAGCCGCACACCTCCGACCCGTCCCTCGATCTTGCTGAGCTCTCAGCCTCTCGCCACCCCGTGCCACAAGCTCCAGGGGCGAATTGTGCTAAAGGGGAGGGAGCGACTCTCGCGCTACTCCGGGGGTGGCCGGGGGAACTCGGACACAGCCCCGCGCGCTCACCCAGCGGCCGTTGCGCGGCGCTCAGCGGGCCCGGGCGGGGCAGACCCCCGGACACAGACAGGCGGAGACAGCAGGGGCTGAGCGCGGCGTCTCCACCCTGGGACGGGGGCGGTCTCAGTGCGGGCGGGGCCAGGTCCCCTCCTTACCCTTGATAATGGGATGGGCCGCCGCCCCCACCGAGTCCAGTTTCCTGCCGGCGGGGAGCGGGGATCCCGCAGCTTTCCCCGGGGTGCCGGGGCCGCTGCTCATGTTGCCGCACTTCCAGCTCCGGCCGCAGCGGGGCGGCGACCACCGAGCTACTACATGCGCGCGCGCACCGCGGATAGAGGGCGCGGCAGGAGCGCGGGGCTCGCGCTGAGGCGTTCCGGCGGTGTGACGTAGCTCTCCGCAGCCCGTTTTGGTTCTTAGCTTCTGCCTCCTTCCCAACGCCTCGGTATGACGTCACGTGGCTGCGCCGAACTCCGGCCTCAGAACTTAAACCCGGTCCGCCCTTCGTTAGGGTAAATGACTCGCGCTGCCGCCATGGCAACCGCGGCCACCCTGTTGGATTCGGCAGAGTCGTGGAGAGTACACGCCCCCACGCCTGTGACGGTGGCAGCACCCCAGTGGCTAAGCTGGGCCCGGGTACCTGTCCGCAGGCACCCATTGGGTAGGCCCCGCCCTCGCTGTATCCCACCACGGCGTCGGCGGGCCTTGGTTCTGAGCAGCGGCTTCTGGCCCCAGCCTGGTTCTCCCCGTGCCACAGCAGCGTCCCGCCGCGGGGCCAGCCCGTCCCAAGCTGGCCGGGAGGTGACGCCTCTCCCCAGGCCCTGTTCCTTGACAAGGCAGCCCGGCTGCCGGCCTGGCAGGAACCGGTCCTGCTGACGCAGCTGCTCACCCTGGCAAGGCTTTCTCACCCCAGACTAGTTCACTCCCTGCAGGGGGTCATCACTCACCTGCTCAGTACAGCGGCCACAGACCAACAGAGTGCAAAACGGGTTTTCTATACAACAGCTGGGTGGCTGCAGCTTGAAATCTAAACAGCGCCACCGAAAATCGTACCAAAATGAGGGAATTCAGAGTACAGTTTTCCCCAGCAACCTTAACTCTGCCTTCTTGTACCTCTGCATTACAAATGGACCTTTATCAGGCACTGACAGAGTTTCAAAAAAAAAAGTACATAATGTACAGGGTTTTTTGTATTGTGCTGTTTAGTAAATAGCCTCTGTTGCAGTAGTCTGGATGCTTGTAATGAAATACCTTAATGTAAAATCATATGTAAGAGTAGTTTGTTTTTTAAGGAAAAATGGGACAATTTTCATCATGTATGAAATGGGATAGAAGGATGCTCATCAAATTTTTGACAGGGTCATTCAGGGAAACAAGTGTAAAGCTTCTCAGCCTCGCACTTTGATACATCTTTCTGAAGGTCAGGAAACTAAAATAATTAATACTGTGCTGACTGGATTTGTGCTACAGTGCCATGGGTCTGCCACTCACACACATCCCTCAACTGGTTGAACTTTCTCTTATTTGGGAAGGAGTCCTGGTTCAGGAAGTTATTCTGAGAAGTAGTCAGAAATATGTCTATTTTTCCTGCCTCTGTAAGAGGAAGTGTAGATAAATCAGCTGATAGGTTCTCTATGTATTGTCTTCCAACAATAAACAAACAAGAATACCTACCTCTTATAATGAAAGGTTTCAGAGTAGCAGCCGTGTTAGTCTGTATCCGCAAAAAGAAGAACAGGAGGACTTGTGGCACCTTAGAGACTAACAAATTTATTAGAGCATAAGCTTTCGTGGACTACAGCCCACTTCTTCGGATGCATATAGAATGGAACATA